CAACCAAAAAATAGCCAGGCGTTGTGGTGGGCACCTCTGATCCCAGCTACTTGGGAGGTGGAGGCAGGAGACTTACTTAAGCCCAGGAATAGGAGGTTGCTGTGAGCTGTGATGCCATGGCACTCTACCCCAGGGGACAGCTTGAGGCTCTGTCTCAAAAAAAAAAAAATACATTTCTATATCATAATGTAATTTTAGAAAATATTCTTTAGTGAGTGTTTTGTTTGATATCTTATTCTGAAATTTTAAATGTTTAAATACCATATATCATGGTGTTATTTTTATGTTAGTAAAATAGAGATAACTTGAGTTTTTAGTTTCTCATTGGAGCATTTTTCTTGATGAAGATACATGGGCCTTTTATTATTTTATTTATTTATTTATTTATTTTTATTTTTTGGAGACAGAGTCTCTGTTGCTATGGGTAGAGTGCTGTGGTGTCAAAGCTGGGGACAAAGTAGGAAAGTAGGACAATAATATTTCAACAAATACCAATCAAGAGATAGAAAATTATTAAAAAGGAGTAAAATCGAAATTTTGAAGCTGAAAAGTATTTACTATAACTGGAATGAAAATTAAAATTACAAAAGATTTTCAAAAATTAGCCAGGCATGGTGGCACTTATCTCTGGTCCTAGCTGGTTCAGAGGCTGAAGCAGGATGATGGCTTGAGCCCAGGAGTTTCTGGTTATGGTGAACATTACCACTGCACTCTCACCAGTCTCAAAGATAAATAATAAGACACAGAAAATCCCTCAAATAGGTTGAATATCATATCTGATAAGATCTAGTATCCAAAATACATGAAGAACACCTACAACTCAACCAAAATTAAATAGGATATAATAAACTAATTAAAAAGGATCTAAGAACTTTAATGGACATTTCTTCATAGAAGATACGCATGAAAAGTTGCTCAATGAAGGTAGCCATCAGTGAAATGGAAAACCAAAACCACAATAAGCTATTATGTGTTCACATCTACTAGGATGGCTATAATAAAGAGAAAATAAGGAGCATTAGTAAAGATATGGAGAAAATTGTAATCCTGATACATCTCTGGTAAAATGGTATAGTACCGTGGAAAACAATAAAGCAGATCCTTAGAAAATTAAACCTTATGACACATCAATTCCTCTCCTGGGTATATGCAAAAGAATCGAAAACCATTATTCAAACAGATAACTTGAAATGAATGGCTACCCTATGTACAATAGACAGAAAGGAGAAACAATCCAAATGTCCACCAATGGACAAATGAAGAAATAAACTGTGGTATAGTCATACAGAGGAATATGATTCAGCCATGAAAAGGAATACAGTACTGATTCTTGCTACATCATGAATGAACCTCAAAAACATTATTCTAGGCTCGGCACCTATAGCTCAACCAGCTAAGGCGCCAGCCACATACACCTAAGGTGGCGGGTTCGAATCCCCAGCCCGGACCCGCCAAACAACAATGACGGCTGCAACCAAAAAATAGCCAGGTGCTGTGGCGGGCACCTGTGGTCCCAGCTACTTGGGAGGCGGAGGCAGGAGACTCGCTTGAGCCCAGGAGTTGGAGGTTGCTGTGAGCTGTAATGCCACGGCACTCTACCCAGGGGGGACAGCTTAAGGCTCTGTCTCAAAAAAAAAAAAAAAAAACATTATTCTAGTTGAAAGAAGCCAGACACAAAATGTCACATATTTTATAAGGTTCCATTTGTATGAAAATTTCAGAGTAGTTAAATCTATAGAGATAGAAAGCAGATTATTGGTTGCCAGAAAGCAATAGGAAGAGAGAACGGGGAGTGACTACTTAATGGGTTCAAAGTCTCCTTTCAGCTGATAAAAGTGTTTTTGAACTAGACAGAGGTGATGTTTGTACAACATTGATTGTTCGTGTACTAAGGGGCACTGAGTTATACACTTTAAAATGGTTAATTTTATATTACATAACTTTTACCTTTTAATTTTTTTTCTTTCCTCATCCTGACCTTAGTTTTTTGTTTGTTTGTTTTTGGGACAAAGTCTCAAGTTGTCACCCTGAATAGAGTGCTCTGGCATCATAGCTCACAGCAACTTCCATCTCTTGGGCTCAAGTGATCCTCTTGCCTCAGTTTTTCTATTTTTAGTAGAGATGGGATCTCACTTTTGCTCAGTCTGGTCTCTAACTTGTGAACTCAAGCAATCCACCTGCCTCAGCCTCCCAGAGGGCTACAATTACAGGCATGAGCCACTGCACCTGGCCCCCCACCTTAGTTTTTTAAAAATATGATTGGTGATACATAACTTGCTTAGATTATCTCACGTGGATCAGTCAGAACACTCATTCCAGCTAAGTCAATCCTTACACTACTCTTGGGTCATTTTATGTGAAAATAAGAAATCTTCCTATTTACACTTGGTGCAATGTGTTTTCATTTCAGGGACTGTTTACATTTAAGGATGTGGCCATAGAATTCTCCCAAGAGGAGTGGGAGTGCCTGGACCCTACTCAGAAGGCCCTGTACAGGGACGTGATGTTGGAGAACTATAGGAACCTGCTCTCCCTGGGTGAGGATACCTTCCCTTCAGAAATCAGTAACTGCCCTTGTAAATCTTTGCATGTTCCTTTGTGAGTTTCTTGGAAGCCCCTGGCTTGCTTGTCTGAAACATTTTGATTCAGAATGGAAAGTATTCAGAATGTGACATTGAGACTTTAAACCTCCCCTTTCTTCAGAAGTTCTACACCTTTCAGGTTTAGTTGATAGTGGTTCCAGAACATTAGTATTCACAAAACCTTATGACAAACTTTTGAAAGTATCTAGTTTCATGGTTTTCCTCTGTGCTTGGAAAAGAGCTAGATATCTGCATATTTAAAATAATCCCTCACTATTCAAAAGGAGGGTATCAGTTGACTAATTTGCAAAATAGTTTTCTAGACCCATCTGTAATGTTCCATAATGTTTGGCTGAACAAAGGGCTGGGAATCAATTCTTTAAAAGCATGGCATATTATGTTCCTTTTCTTTATATGTCAAAATCTCTCTTGGGCTGAATATTATCTTCATTTTGTAATAAGGAAAAGATACCCAGACTGCAGAGAGTGACATGAAATGGGGAAAAAAATCGAGGTAGGTGGGACTGTAAACACAGATAAGAGCTCACATGGGCATAGGGTAAGCTACTTCAGTAAATACTATTTGGGAAACTCTTTAAAACAGGAAAGATTTGTGGGAAAACAGAACTTTTATTTTTCATGAGCTTTCAAAGGAAGCCCTCCTACACAAACACACTCTCTCTCTTTCTTTCTCATATCATTTTATTATTTAAGCTCCTACTCTCCCTTAATGCTCTGGCTCATGCTGACACAAAGGCAGATGCTTTATGGTGATCTGCAACACCCTATTATCTGGTGCCTCTGACAGTTTTGGTCTTTAGCTTTGAGAGGGACCAAGATGGTTGTTTTAAAGAACATTCTTTTTTTTTTATTTGATCTTATTGAGGCTCAATTCTCAGCCAGTACAATCAGAGCTGAGGCCTTTGTAGTCCGGGCCCCAGAACCTATTCAGATTTTATTCACATTTCATGTAAGACCTTCCAAGGAAAATGGGGGGAAAAATGACACCATAAATGTATTTGGGGCTCCCTGAAATTTCCTATAGCCCTATCTACTCAGACCCCTTTGCCATTTCTTCAGTTCTACTTTTGTCACATGTGAATAAAGGGAAATAGGGCAGCTCTTTTGAGTAACATGAAGACTTGACAAGGAGATCCTTTTTTTGAGCCCCATTCCAAAATGGGAGTATGTCTCAGTCTTTTAGACTCTCACCTCCACAGCCTATGGGCAAAGCACCACCACCCTTTCTCAAGAACCCTACAAAATATGATCACCTTGTTTTACTCTCATATCTTTTTTTTTTTCCTCTTCCAGCTTTCTACCCTACCTAAAAACAAGACAGGCCTTGGTCTTCCTGATTTCATGTTCTAAGATTTTTTTTCCTTTGAAACTTGCTTTTGAAATACACATTCCTGGGGCAGTGCCTATGGCTCAGAGGGTAGGGCACCAGCCCCATATACCGAGGATGACGGGTTCAAACCCCGCTGTGGCCAGCTACAAAGCAGTGGCAACTGCAACCAAAATAGCCGGGCGTTGTGGCAGGCGCCTGTAGTCCCAGCAACTTGGGGAGGCTGAGGCAAGAGAATTGCCCTAGCCCAAGAGCTAGAGGTTGCTGTGAAGCCACAGCACTCTACCCAGGGCGACAAAGTGAGACTTGGTCTCAAAAAGAAAGAAAGAAATACACATTCTGGCCGTTGCTGTCTAACACCAGCGCCGCCTCCAGCTCGCTGAGCTCCGGCCGAAGAATGGGGGTAAGGAGGTCATTATACCATGGCGCATACAAAGCAGACTGCCCGCAAATCCACCCATGGTAAAGCACCCAGGAAGCAACTGGCTACAAAAGCTCATGCCTATAATCCTAGTACTCTGGGAGGCCGAGGCGGGTGGATTGCCTGAGCTCAGGAGTTTGAGACTAGCCTGAGCAAAAGTGAGACCCCCATCTCTACTAAAAATAGAAAAACTGAGGCAAGAGGAGAGCTTGAGCCCAGAGTTGAAGTTTGCTGTGAACGTGATGCCATGGCACTCTACCCAGGGCAACAGCTTGAGCCTCTGTCTCAAAAAAAATAAGTGCCTCTTGAAGTGATTATGTGCCAGGATACTGAGAAAATGTTAGGAGAGACTAAATAATAAGTACCTTCAGTCCATCTGGCTTTGTGATGTTTACAGTATCTCCTAAGGGCAGTGTAACAATGTTTTCAGATACATAAGAATCATCCCCTTGGAGCCAGCAAAAAAAGTACAGGAATTTATCCTAGGGAGCAGAACATTGTCCAAGTTCACAATTTCATTTCTGTGAGAATGTTGCCTAAACTGTTGTTTGTGCCACATTGCATAAGTTTGAGCTGAGTTTTAGCTTTTATTTGTGTGTAATAATCATGCACTAAATAATGCATTATTATTTGTTCATCTTCAAATATGAGGCAATGATATAGCTATGCCTATTTGGTGTATTTTGGGGGAGGGTGATGCTGTTAAAATATCCTTTCAGGGCTTACATGAATTCATATAATATAAATGTTTTAGTTGTAGGGTGTTTCAAATTGCACTGCCCTTAAAATATTTTGAATTGCATGTTTTATTCCTATATTACATTTTTTTTTTGAGACAGAGTCTCACTATGTTGCCCTCAGTAGAATGCTGTAGTGTCACAGCTCACAGCAACCTCAAACTCTTGGGCTTAAGCAATTCTCTTGCCTCAGCCTCCCAAGTAACTG